CAGCCGTTGAGACCTTCAAGTGTTTCTCGAATTGTATTTTGGAAAATTTCAGCTGCAGAGGTTACTCCGAAATTAAGGCGCTTATATCTCCTCAGGCCGACATGGGTGCTAAATGTGGTAACATAGCGTGATTCTTCTGAGAGTTCAATTTGGTGATAAACCTTGATTGAGGTCAAGCTTTGAAAATACTTTAGCGTCATTTAGATCTGCTATGACGTCATCTATGGTGGGGGTTATGTGACGTTCTCGCTGGATTGCCTTGTTGACAGCTCGCATATCCACACAAATTCTAACATCGTTTGGACTTTTGGGTTTCGGCACAACAACGATTGGGGAAACCCATGGCGTTGGACCTTCTGTTTTCTCGATGATGTCATCCTTTTCCATTTCTTCAAGCTTTTTCTCCACCTGTTTCCGTAGATGGAATGGTATCCGCCGATGGGTTTGAGCAGCTGGCGGAATTGATTCGTCAATATGTAGCTTCACCTTATGATCTTTTAATTTTCCAACGCCATTGAATAATTCCTCAGGTATTGCAACATTGCAGGATACAGTTGTGTTCTTAGCAGTGTCCACAGCGTTAGTAATTGCAATCAAACCAAGATGCTTTGCAGTATTGTAGGATAACAAAGAACCTCCAAAGCGACCGTTGTTGCTAACGACAAAAAACTCGGCAGCATCAATTCGTTTCCGCAATTCTACAGTAGCAGTAAACTTCCCAAGGACACGGAGGGGTTTATCGGACTTGTAGGGGTAGATGTTGATAGAACTGTGTTGCCAATTTTATTTCCGGTTTGAAGGCTTCAAAATCCTTTTCTTCGAGTAAATTAACTGTCGCTCCAGTGTCAATAATAAATTTAACTTTGGCTAGGTCTTGAATCCGTTAATTAACCATTGGATGTTTGGTATTTTCGTCTGTATCTTGCACCATAAACGTATATTCATCCGACTCGGAGTGTTCACTGGTAATGTCACTTGCGTTTTCTTCGTTTACATATTTAACCGTCTGACGTTTGTCACTTTCATGGTGGCGATGTTGTTGTTTTTGTGGAGATGAACGGCATGCGACGGCAAAGTGATTCAATTTCCCGCAAAGTCGACACGTTTTCCCTTTTGCTGGACATACGCCAGGATGAGGATAGGGTTTGCTGCAAAAATAACATAGTTTCGTTGATTCTTGTCTTTGTCCTTGACGTTGTGAGTTGAAGTTCTTCGAAAAGTAATTTCGTGTTTGAGCAGTTTTCATCTGGTTGACTGATTCTGTGTTGTTATTTTCCATTTCCTGAGCTTGTTGGTGTGATAGTTCATAGGCTCGGCCTTGATCTAAAAGTTGTTGGAGAGTCATTTCAGTACGAAGGGCTTTTCGTCGAAGCTGTTGGGACGTGCACGTTTGCACAATTTGTGTTTTAATTTCGCGATCCATGTCTGCAAATTCACACGTGGAAGCAAGGTGTCGAAGGCGAGTGTGGTAAGAATCGAGCTTTTCGTCATGGCGTTGGCTAGCTTGGCGAAATTTGTAGATTTCATACTCCGTATTCTTTTTAGGCTCGAAATAAGTTGTAAGTGATTTCACAGCTGTGTCAAAATCATCCTCAGAACCTTTCTGTTCGGCGGTAAATGTGTCAAAGATATCGTAAACTTGTGATCCAGCCAAGTGTATAAGTAAAGCACGTTTCCGTTTCTTTGCCGATATATCCATAGCGACCATAAGATTGTTAAAACGTTGCAACCATTTTTTCCAGCGAGTGGCAATAGAAGAACTTGAAGTGTCGTTCCCATAAACTATAAATGGTTCGAAATCGGGTATGGCTTTTGCCATATTTTATTATTATTTTTGTCCTCGTCGCCAAATGTAATATAGCACTCCTTCGATGCATAAACACATGTCTAGCTTCTATCTTTACAAGTGCGCATGCTCCTAAAGCATGATGTAACTATTACGTCATTACAACAGGAGTTTCCGCCGCCGAAAGAAATTTCGCCATAAATCATCACAATTTTCATAGATTTATGCTAAAATGCCACGAAAAGAAAAAGCGTACGAGTACAAAGAACTATTGTGCGCGTAATGCACAATGCATGAAGAGAAAGACAAACTGAATTTATAAGTGGCTGTTGCCGGCAGCGCAGGAGTTAAACTACGGATATAAACTCGACTGATAGCGCATGTATTTACTATACAAAAAATAAACATTTTAATTATTGAATTTTCCGCGAGCGAATTGTGCAAATTAAAATTAATAACTGTGCAAGTAATGTTTAATTTGCACACTTCTTAGACCTTTTCAACCAGTTTCGTATAATTATATTTTGGTGTTTAAAATATACTGTAGAATATTCAGTAGGAATATTCTGACTGCAAGACTGACTGCATTTCTTTATTTAAAAAAAAAATTGTACTGAATATTGGATTTTTAACATAAGCGCACTTATTTGAGTTACATGTAATTCGTTTGAATGCAGTTAAAATTAATAAAGGGAAAATTTTGTCAGGTAAATTTTTCAGTGGTTGTGGCAAAGTTAATTTACCCTATTATGCTTCTCGTCCTTATTCACTGAAGGATACCAAGATGGCGGACGGTCGCGTTCTGACTAGCTCTGTCAGTTGCCTTCAAAACAATCTTTATAACTGGGACTTGACCGAAATACTTCGCTACAAAGAAGCGAATAGCTTTACTTATGTTGGCAATCGAATTAAATGGATAGATACTTTTGACATGTTGAAAATATTTACGAAAAATGCCATTGGTCAGGCTGGCAAATGGCTATCACCCGGTGGCAAATATAAGAAATTTGTGAGCTCCAATTCTGACCTAACTATCACATGGAACTATGAACTGGGCATGCTGACTTTCAAAGGCAGTGTAGGAGACAATTTAAAAGAACTATTTGCTAATATTATGAATGAAGACATGCCGACGAATAGTATAAGTTTTAAACTTGGCTCTTCGAATAAAGACAAATTGTTGCATAATGGCGAAATCGTGTCCGAAGCTGGTAGAAAAATCATAGACCGTGATAGTGCTGAATCCGAATGCGGGGCGGTAACACATACTACGGACATTTCAACTCTTGAAGAGCTACAGGAAATTGTTGATCGATCTTATCAAGGTATGTTGCCCCGAAATGGCAACGTCAATGTGTCCTTTGCCCAAACAATCGACAGTTCTACCCCTTTCAGGTCGCGTGCAGCAGAATGCTTATCTATGGAGGAACGATTCTGTACGTTTAAGGTAAATATAGAGTCCACAGTGACAGCCTTAAAGGCTAAACTTTCGGAACAGACCCAAATCATTGCAGAAAGTAAACAAGAGCTATGTAAATTGGCCAGTGACAATTTGCATTTAAGAACACGCCTGGCTGAACTTGAAGAGAAAGTGTTCCCTAAGGACAAATCTACTATTTTAAATACCCCCAGTAGTAACGGTGATATCCCTAACAATACCTCAGTAAATAAATCCCAACCCATCGTCCCGTGTGTAACGACACCCACAAACAATGCACAATTGAATACGTTAAACACAAGCATTTCAAGCTCAATTAACATTGATATTCCATATGCAGTTAAAGCCTCAGCTAATCCGAATAGAAATAATGTAAGATCATTAGAGAACAATGATAGTAACCTGCGACGAATACAATTAAAATCTCAAATGCTGAAATTACATCAACAGGCAAAAAGGAAAAAGCGTTAGTGCCTTGCCCGTTCCTGAAAAGGAGAGGTCACTGCTTAAAGGGAGACAGATGCGACTTTCTGCATAAGAAAGTCCTACCTGTAACAAGTGGATCGAAGTTTCAACAAAAGCGTGATAATATACCACAATCAGGCAGTAACCAATTCCCTTTTCCCTTCGACCTAAGTTATTTTTCCCCATTTCGACTCCCAATGTTTTATCCCCCCTACAGCCGTTTCCGTATC